GGGATTATCGTACGATAATCGGCAGGTGTATGGGCACCTTAATACTATTTCCAATCACGCCCTCTCAACAAGTCCTGACTTCACTGGCTGCATGCTGCTTTCAAGTCAATATATAGAGGGTTGTTCACAGAGGAGCCGAAGGATCCAGCCGTAGCTTCGGCTGATCCTTCAGTTCTCTTTGGCCGCTGGAGCCCTTCGGTTTAGTCGAACTGCAGGGCTGCTGTACGGGCTATTCACTATAGCCCATACAGCAGCCGAAGGCGGCCGAGCGGCACAGCCGAGCCAAAGGCATATGCCGAGCCAAAGTGACAGCTGAAGCGTGTATAATCTTACAATTTATTTACATTGTAAAAGAAATGTTTAATCTTTTTTTTTTTACTATTTTCTATTCTGTTTAGTACCACGGCGGTACCGAGCAGAAAAGCCGAGCCGAATGCCGCTCGGTGGCATTTGGCAATTCACTCACTGCTGTCCGGCCCCTATGTGAATAGGAGCAAACTGCTGCGAGGGAGCTGCCGGAGCTTTGGCTCAGCCGGTCCAGATGTTGGATCGGCTGAGTCAAAGTCCTTCTGCACCTCGGCTCAGCCGAACATAAAATCAGCCGTACTGAGCCGGAGTGAATAGCCGAACGTTGTTCAGTTCACTTCACTTCGGCTGGGTTATTCACTCGGCTTCCTTCGGCAGCTTTCTGAATAACCCCCATAATGTTTCAGTGTAACACTTCCAGGTATTTATTACCTCTAACAGGGATCTTTGTTTAGGCATCATTCAGGGTCACCATCTACTTCCTGGACTGAGGTTCCAGCATAGAAATGATACAATAATGTCAATCCCGGTGTCTGTGCAGTTCTTGGCTTGTTCACAAATGCAGCAGCGTTGTCACCCTGCGGTCTGAGTAGTCTTAGATGGATATGTAGTTTTAAAAGGACTTTAATTAAGACAAATGGATTAAAGCACAACTCCAGCTAACACTTACTGAGCAGTTACAGGAAAAAGTGTAAACCATATGAATAATGACCAGTGTGAGCACCCCCGGAAGTGTTATATGGTTTGTCCCAACCCCTGTAGCTGTCACTTTTGCTGGACGGCCCAATCTTCATTTAAGTGAGTAAAAAATATTAATCAAGGAATGTGAAATAAAAACAGAGGAATTCATATTCTGAATACTATCCTTACATATATTAACCACATACAGCTTCCAGAATACAAAACTTTTTCACTATGGGGCCCTTGAAGGTTACAGCGATAGATCTGCAGGCATCTCTGCCATTTAATAGCTGAGTATACCATAATAAAAACACAGGTCAAGTATCCAAGTATCATACCTATGGGCAGGGCTGGTGCTGCCACTAGTCAAACTAGGCAGCTGCCTAGGGTGCACTGCTGCCTAGGGTGCAGCCTTGACCACTCACACCCCCCCAACCCCCATGGTGCCACCAGTCTATTTCAAATTGCAAAAGCCAAAAGACTGGCTAAGCAGGTTCTGATGAAGGGGGCGTGCCCCTGAAACGCGTAGACCGTTCGAACTCACAGGGGCAGAGGATATTTGACCGGTTTCATTCTGTGAGACTCCCGCTGCCAGTGATTCCCATTGCATCATCTTACATGCTTGTATCGATCGATCCTTCTTGTGAGTACATTTTCAGCTGTGTTGCCGTTCGAATAAATTATCTTTTACACGATGGAGGCGCTCTGTTTTTCTTTGTATTTCCCAGATCGGAGGTCATTTTGACCGGTGGGAGCTGCCTCATCTGTGTTTCCACTAAAAACGTCCTAATTGGCTATCCTCTCGTAACCGGCGGCGCCGGTATTTGCTAGACTGGCTATTGCACCTACCCACTGAGCAGAGGAGCAGAACTGAGAAACAACTTTCTCTCTCTGGTCCGCTCCTCTGCACAGTGGGTGGGGATTCAATAGCCAGTCTGCTATTGTCTATTTCAAATTAAAATAGCCAATAGCAGTCTGGCTACTGCTCCTGGCTCCCGACATCCACCTGTCGCCTGCAGAAGCTAGCCAGCAGGAGAATGGAGCCGCGCGGGGACGACGACTGTGGGTTGTGCCCCAGGCGGGGGGCTGGAAGTAGTTGGTCTTGCCTAGGGCGCAAAATAGTCTAGCAACGGCCCTGCCTATGGGAGGTCATCTGTGCGATGTCTTGGGCTCAGGTGAGACAAGCCAAAACTTTTGCTAAATGTACACAAAGCACATTTGGAAGAATGGAATGACTGCATACTAACAGCAAACTTCCCAAACTGTCAAGCAGGGTGGGAGCATAACAGTGTGGGGCTCTGCTGTCTTAATCCCCCACAGTTTGCCTCAGTGCATGTAGCACACCCATATGATATCACCTAAAGAAATCTCAGACTCCGAGAGTTCTTACATTTTCTAGGTATGCTCATTTCTTGTCTTGGTGTAACAAAGACAGAAACTAGAGTGAAATCTGCTTAGAGGAGAATTATGGGGAGAGTAAAATACACTCATCCCCAATAATTAGAGCCGACATGTGACACTGAAGCTGTCACATATCGGCTCTATAGATCAAGAACTGAGCGATCACATACAGCTGATCGCTGAGTTCCCGATCTTCTCCTTGCAATGAGTGGTGACTGTCAATCATCACTCTCTGGAGGGACAGACAGGGGAGGGGGCGGGCACAGCTGGCTCTGGCTCTAGAGAGGCAGAACCAGCTGTCAATCAGGCAGCGGGGTGAATCCCGGCAATATTGTCGGGGTCTTTCCTGGCTGCAGCACGGCTCTGTACTGTCAGCATATAGTGGGCAATGGCACTCTATATGCTGAGTTTTGGGTCACAGGATTACATTACTATGCCCTCCTGTGACTCTAAAAAGAACTATGGCCAGAAAAGGTTGGGCCATAGTTCTCTTTCAATGGGCAGCATTCCTGATTGCTCAGCAGCATAGGCATGAATAATAATAAAACAGAAACTTTCAAAGAGAGTGTCTCGCCCATTAAAGATTGTGAAACCAATGATGCTGGAATGGGCAAGGCTGCAGCTTTTTTGAGTGTAAAAAAATGTTATTCTTACCTTATCATAACGGCAAAGAAGAGCATTCATTGTAACCCCTTAGTGACTGAGGCATTCTTTTGTACCCATGATATAATCCACATTTTAGGCCTAAAAATTAATTCAAACCTCCAAACATTATATATATAGACCCTGTAGGATAAAATGGTGGCAGTTGCAATTTTTTATGTTGCACGATATTAGCGCGTATTATCAAACCCCAAAACACAATTGAATACCTATTTTTTTAAAATAAAATATAACAGATGAGGTTACAACTAGTAAATAGATATCCAACATGCCCAGGTTAGAAATTGTGTGCGTCCGTAAGCAAAATTCAGTACCCCGAAAAGTCCATAGACCCTCTAGCAAGCGCAGCAGTTGCCAACCTTTCGGACCTCATGGACTACTAAATTCATAATTTTAAATTCCGCGGACCACTAATATGATTTTTTTAAAACCACCCCCGTGCCTCCCCTTCCCCCACACTGAGCCACTATTACGCAAAACAAAACAAATTGATGAGTGTGTTTGCCATTTGTTTTGCTTAACTGATTTGGTGCAGTGATGCATGGGGGGTCTCAGCTGCCATTGGGATGTGCGGGGTCCTTTGTACGTCCCTGTGCCTTTAAGGGAGGTTGGGCTTCCTCCTGACAAACCTGCACCCAATTTGATCTTTTGCCATATGTGCTCCAAAATGGAGACTCTCATAGTTTAGAGTTTGGACCTATATAGAGGTGCCTTGGCGCGGTTGTGCGGTTTTCAAATTTTCTGCAGGAGACGTGTATCTAAACCTTATACCGCCGGGTGACTGTCCCCTCCTCTCTGCCGGCGTCCATCAACGAGATGGCCGCCGGCAGGTATCAGAATACTGCCGCGTGTGCTCGATGACGTCATCGCGCACGCGGTGACGTCACGCGCATGCGCATGAGGTCTCAGCGGGGTGACACTCGGTTACCGCTCCAGGTGTCACCCAGCCTCAGGACGCCCCTGCTTAAAGCATACATCCCCCCCCCTTCCCCCCAATGTTAATGTCAGCACTTACCTTAAATTATGTCTCTTAATCCGTTCTTCTTCTTTCCTTTCGTTTTCATCTGTCCCTCCAGCGCTGGCACTTCCTGTCCCACGGTGCCTGCATGTGGGTGCACACCGTCCATAGACTTACCTTGTGTCTCTCCTCGTCTCCTGGCTGAAAATCTGAACTGCGTATGCGCCCGCCCCATGATTCTTTGCGGCCACCCAGGATTTTTCAGATTTTTGGACGGGAGCTCGCAGTGAAGAAACAGGTAAGTTTTAACCTGATTGAAAGGGTTTTGTTTTTTTTAAAGTTTTTGCATATATCTACTGCTTGCTAGTGCTTGCTGTAATAACACTTTAAGTAGCGATTCACTGGATCACTGAAGAAAGTCTGTACAGCCCTTCTGATCCGGGTACCCACCGCAGGCTGATGCACGGAGCAAGCTGGTTGATCGGAGAATGCAAACACACAGAGGCTGGATTGTAGGTACACACTAGCAGTGCACAGGTGCAGAGGCGCAGGCAGCTCAGGAAAGATCACAGCTCACTAGTGAATGTAAAAGCAGTTCTCTGGCAGAATACACAGAGTCACTCTGGGAGCAGAAAGGATTACCAAGGAACACCTGAATACTGAGCAACAGGTACACTAGCTTTTTAACACAGAGGTTCAGGGCAGATTCACTGGGTGCCCAGCAGTCCGGACAGAAGGCAACACCGAGCACTAGAACTATGCCCAGATGAGTGTGAAAACGAAACTGTCAATCCCTATGATCAGTGCTTTGCAAGTCTTAGTGTTACACTCCCCTACGTCAGTGCTGAATAATTGCAGTTCTCCTGTGACGTGTGGGTGATCCACCCTCTGCTGTTCCCTTTTCTCAGCCTAAACATCTCACACACACAAACACACACACATAGAGATTGCAGGGCTCCATACATTAGGCTGTATCAGGAACCCTGAGAACATGGGGGACCAATCACTCACCATCTCTCTGATGAAGCTGCTGTGCTTGCATGGTGGTCGGCTGGAGAAGAATCAATTAGCTGATCTTCTGGATCTCTCAGCAAAGGAAGTTGAACAGATTCTGCAGGATGAGTCTCTCATATTCCCACAGAGCTTCGAGCTTGTTTTGGCCCAGAGCCCCCTGAGGACCTGTGACACATACCTTTACTCAGATGAGGGATGTAAGGAAGAGTGTCCAAAACTTCACCTGTGTACCCACTACCTGAAGGACCAGTGCTTCACCAAAAAAGGGTACGTAAAAAGGGGGAAGTGAAAGCTGAGTCCAAGGGAAATGGAGAATGACTCTGGATGTGTTTGGACCAAAGATGGAAGGCGACTGAGTAGAGGCAAGTGGAGAGTGGGTGACTCTAGGGGTTTTGGGATAGGTACAGCAAGTATAGGGCTACAACAGCAAAGAGAAGAATGAGTCGGAGGTATTGTCTTAGGTATGCTGAGTAAAAAGCTACTATGGAGAAGTGGAAGGTAAATATTGGGATATTGGCAGAGTGAGTATAGGTTTTATAAGGACAAACCAAAATTCACTCTAGAGATATTGGGTTAAGTGTAGTGAGTATAGGTCTACTATGGACAGATGGGTGACTTTTGGGATATTTGGGTAAGTACTGTGAGTAAAGGGCTAGTAAGAACAAGTGGAGGGTGACTTTAAATATACCAGGGAAAGTACTGTATCTTAGTATAGGGTTAGTAAGGAAAAGTGGAGGGTGTCTCTAGAAATATCAGGGCAAGTCTGTTGAGTACAGAGCTACTATGAACAGGTGGAGGATGACTCTAGAGATATTAGTGCAGTGAGTATAGAGATACTAAGAACAAGTGGAAGGTGACTCCTGGATATTGAGGTAAGTACTATGAGTATAGGGCTACCATGGGCAAGTGTATAACGACTAGGTATGGTTATATGAATCTCAGCTGCGGAGTTGCTGAATTTAGGAGAAGTGTGTTTGAGGGTATGGTATCAGGGGCGAGCTCCAGGCGTCACTCTCAAACTTTAGCGGAGAGTTTGGAGCTCTACCATCATATACCGCAATTATTTTTTAGTAGGTGGTGCACAGGGTTGCCCCAGGTTATTTCAGCATACCAGGGTGCAATAGTATAGGTGAGGAAGGAGAAGAAACAAATAAGTGGCTTCCAGTACTGAAGTATCAACACAAGATATAGTAACAATTCCCCTTTAACTGATGAGACTCAGGATTCAAATGAGGAAGTCCATTCAGCATGTGAATAAAGTCAATACAATCTCCCAAGTGAGCACTAGACTGTGGACAGGATGTCCCAGACTAGTCAGTACTTGCTATTTAGATGCCCAAGTAGATTGGAGTAAGTGGGGGTCCTTGCGGCTCACACGTCCTATGATCCAGATCCAGGTGTCAGCTGGCGTTCACTCGCAATAGTGGAACGCCATACTGATCTCTCTTCCGGCCTTTTAAGGGGAAGGAGTGTGGGCGGAGCTACTCGCGCCAGAGAGCCGGTGCGTTCCACGCTGGAGCGCATTGGCGGATTTACTTCCTGCTTGCGGCTTGCGTTCCACTGCGGAGCACAGCCGCGATCGTTACAAAGTGGAGAGTGACTTAAGGGATATTAGGGTAAGTTCAGTGATTATAGGACTGTTAAGCTAGAGATATTGAGGTAAATGGTGAGTACAGGGGAAGAGAAGCATGTATCTTGAGGAATTGGGTAAGGAAGTGTATCTTGAATGACCTTGAACTAAAACAATTCTATATGTACAGTGCGCTTCAGTGATCCATGATTTGTCTGGAAAATATGGGTGTATGGGGTAGGTTGCCCTCTTTGATGGGGTCATAATTACCTTCCTACATATTTTCATGTTGCTGTTATTGATCCCAATTCATAACTTTCATCATTAATTCATCTCCTTCCAGAATCAGAATTTATGGTGTCTTTCCATTCTAGGCATCGCTGCAAATTCTCCCATGATGTCTTCTCTGACCACAACAATGCCGTGTTAGAAGTTAACGAGCTGAGCGAACTGAATGAGGACGAGATAAAAGTTCTGCTTTTCCAGAATGACAACATGCTGCTGCCGCAGGTGAGTTTCCGAGGTTCCCTCATCCCTG